TTATCTAGTTTTATTTCCATTTGGAAACAGATTAGTGAAGGTCATTAGCCATTAGGACCAGATGGCTCAAGTGTACTGTAAGGAAATACTAGGCTTTCTCCCGTTGACTTGATTATCAGTTCACCGGCACACATTGGTTGAGGCTATACAAGTAGTATCACCCATTCTTTTTCCATCCATTTTGAACTGGATGTTTATGGAAGGCAGACATCACCCTAATAAGTAATTCTCCAGCTCCCCCCCAAAATCAGGTCAACTTAGTGACCAAAGAATAAGCATGCATAATTTTCCCAAGTTCGAGAAACCAGTAGGACAATTATGTCCACTTCTACTGGTCAGTTTCCAACAGTTCAGTAAGTAATTTGAGATAAGAAGTTTCAATAAAGATAAGGTCTATATTAGTTGGCAACGTGCATCAGTGAATTCAAGTATTTATTATAATATGTTCAATTTGACATGTGTGTGCCCACATGTGTGCTGATAAAGAGGAGAAAACAGGAAAAGGCATTGTTTAACTCAGGGTCAGTTAACTTTTTCTATAAAGAGCCAGAGAGTAAATATTTTAGGCTTTGTGGGCCATAAGGTCTCTGTGGCATCTATTCGACTTTGCTGTTGTCAGGCAAATGCAGCCATAGATAACACATAAATAGATGAACATGCGTTCCAATAAAACTTTATTTATGGAGAATGAAATTTTGATTTTATATTATTCGTTTCTTGATCTTTTTGAACCATTTAAAAATAAACCATTCTTTGCTCACAGTCTGTGCCATAACAGCAAGCCAGATTTGGCACATAGGCCACAATGTGCCAACCCCTGGTTTAGCCTGTTCATGATGTTCTTTTCCTCCTATGATTAGCTTTCAAGGTTTGAGATTATTTGATGGTAAGGGTGGTAGATTTCAAGACTGTATGCTTCAACAAATTTTTTAAGTGGTCTTGAGTTTTCTTATTAAGTGTGAAACCAGTCATTTCAAGTTCATTCTGTAAAGATATATTTCTAGTTCACCAATAATATATCTTCTCTCACAGCTAAACTTCCAGGGTTAACCCCAAGTGAAATAACAAAGTACTGAAGTTGAACAGTGTATGTGTGTATAAAGGGAGAGAATGAACAGCTGGAAGGACCATAAGCAGAAAGCGAAACTTTCCAGGTCACGCATTTAAAGTACAAGTAAGTTTAACTGCAGCTGACAGTCTTTACCAAATTCTGATAGCAAGGAGGTTAAACTTACTTGCCCCAGATAATAAGAGAAAGCTGCTTGAAATGGTACAAAGCCTGAACTACATGCCTTCTTCCCAGAACTGTGAGCAACTAGACTTTCACAGCTTCAAACTAGCAACCTTGGGAAACTAGAGTTAAATATTCCTAAAACAGGAATCTAGTTCTGTTATGAAACTGTTCATCACTTCACCTTCTGACAGCTACAAAAATCAGCAGAACTTAGAAAGGACTCAGAAGATGAGCAAGTCGCATTTTTAATAAAATTCAAATCCAGAGTCTTTGGAGGTTTTTCATTGTTAGCCTCCAGAGCTCACTATTATCAGCAATATTAATACAATTACTGAATAAAAATAGCAGATATGGGAAAACTTTGACCTTTTGCATTACTTCTTTAACCTCCCCTTTTCCCTGGGAAATATTTAATTCTGAGCAAGGTAAAGGTAAAAGAAGTTTAGTAGTATCTAAATGGATTTGACATAAAAATCGAAGGAAATTATACGCACGTATTTTGTATTTTTCCTCAAATGTAAGATACTTGTAACAAAATTAGCATTCTTCATTATGACAGATATTAGTCACTGCTACATACCACAAAATAACTCATGCAACTATAAGAAAATGCAAAATAAAGCATTCCCCAAATTTACCTACTGCTATAGAAATCATCTTCATATCAATAACGGGGACTCAATCTTTATCATCAAGTCTATCATTTTGCTTAAAGAAGTCAAATCAGGGACTCAATCTATGAACATATCATTCAATTTAATAACACACCTATGAGTTTTGGATCTTAAATCATCTCCCTCAGGCAAAAGGGGTATAATCATATGTTTTTCTACTGGACTGCATTCTTCCAAAAACATTTGAAAGAATGCATCTGTTTTACAAATAAAATAGTCAATACAGAGAGCAGTAACAATAAAAATATATGCCTGTTTTTATACTATTACTGGTTTATAAACCAATCATCTGTAATGCTCTCATCTACAAGGATGGAAAATGATATAGAACTGTTACCAAGGAAACAGTGAAGTAAAACTGCATGTAAACTATCAAGCAGTTTAAGAACCAGAAAATTAGAAGAACAGGAAAAAACATTTCCAGATAGAACCATGACACACTGTGCCACCCACGAAGGATGCAATCAAGGGTCATAACTAACAGATGATATAAAGGGTCCCAACTACTTGCCAGCTATTCCAACAGTTGGCAGCAATTTTTTTTTTAATGGTACTGGGTTCTTGAGGGGCAATGTGCATTCTGATTTTTCCCACGATTACAAGGGCTTAGATTCTGGAAGTAGTTAAATGTAGACACTTTAAAAAGTCAAAATTTGCAGTTTACTTATTCCAGTGTCGATTAATATTCTCTTGGAATTCTCTGTAATTACACTGTCTTTACTCACAGAACACTAAGCAAATATCGCTTCCAATATATGCTTTCTGAATTAACATTTAGAAACTCAAGTTTGCAGGAACCAAAGGCAAGGCCAAGACCCAGGGTAACTACATGTGTTTGCCTCTAAACCAAGAGAATTTTAAGCACTCAAGTAACCACACTGATCAAAGCTAAATCCTTTAGGAAGATTATCCATTCTGAAATCAGGAAAATCCTGCAGTATAAGCACTTTTATACTTCACCTTTGAGAAAAGAACTTGATTTCTGTAACAGTGTTTAAAACATATACAAGATTTTCTTCCTCCCAAGGCAAAATAAGCAACTGCAAACATGTGTTTTTACATGCTGATGACCCTCTAAAGGTATTTCTATCTCAGCTTAGGGACCATCCTTGTGCTCACACTAAGGAAAAGGAAGGATGCTATGGATGGAAGACTTCTTAATCGGCACATCAGCTCAGAACATTTGCACCTTCTGTCTTTATAATAAACACTCTACTCGATCACATGAAGGATAGAAAGTGAAACTCACACTCATTTACTAAATTTTAAACTCTCTTTAAAATAAGATACTAATCTCTCCACAGCCTGGCTTGAGTTTTGCATAAAACTCAGATTTGTGAATATCAGGTAGGCATCCTAGAATTTAGTAAAAAGAATATAAAACATCTTTTCAATGACACAGTCTTCTCCAAAGCTCCTAAGTTTAAGGACTAAATAAACGCTCTAGATGTTTTGTTAATCTGTTTTTAGCATCTGAGGCCACCAAAAAGTATCCTAGTTACTTTGAACTATACTGTTCGTTGAAGTTCCCTTTCCCTTTAGCGGTATCTCTGTCCATCACACAGAGGGTACCACTCAATCGCTAAACTTGCCCACAGCTGCTTCATTATTTGACAGCTGTTTAGAAACTAGCCCTAGGCAGAAGCATGCAGGAAGTTAATAGAAAAGTGGTGTGAAGCAATGGCCCTCTATAAGATCAGCTTGAAAGCAAACAATTTGCCACACCACATTCAACCACTGCTTAACACATCAGTCTTCTGATCTGCACGACAACACCTCTTCTTCAGCTGCTCTAAGACAAAGGTATTTACCCATCAACTGTGTATCTCCAGTCTACCTAGAGTAAGTTGTGCTGGGCCTGTCTCCCTGGGGAAATCTGCTTGTGGCATGAAGACTGGCCCATGTTAGTAGAGAGGGAAGGTGGAGATGGGCAGGAAGAACAAAGACCTGTAGATGTAGGAAAGAATGGCAACATCCAAACATAACCTTTCTGAAGTGGCCTAAATGGAATTTAATAAAACAAAATCAACACACATTTCTACCTCGGGCTATTGGAAGCTGCTCATCTCTGCCTGATGCAATCAACACATCTTTCTCTGATACTCAGGACTGAAGGAAAACCTGGGATTTTTCTGTCCATATTGCAAGTAAGTTTTTAGGCTACATCCTTGAAAAACCCAACTGTCTACCTCCTATGTCCTGGTAGTAACTGCTATAAAGAACTTCAGGGGCAGAGAAGGTTGGGGACGGTTTTCTAAGACCAGTCCTATCTGGCTCTTCCCAGTTAATGCCACACAGCAAGAACCACAGACCTTACTCTGGCTCCAGTGAAGATTTTGGAAGCATAAGCAGGGTAGAAGACCCGGAGGAGTGCTCCGGCCAGGCAACACCTAGACGGCCCAAGTGTAGAAATGTTCCTCCTTTATCACTACTATTCAAGAAATCTGTCTGAATTGATGATTTAGTTTTAGCTACTGTTTTAACAACACGGCCACTTAGAAGAAAATTTCTAAATCTTTCAAGGCTTAAGAATATAGTTACGGGGGATTAAAAAAAAAAAAAGGCTGAAAGTCTTTCTTTTCTATCTCCACTACCTCACCATCTAGGTTACCACTGGGAGCACCTGGTCAGCCTAGGAGCTGACTTTATGGGGGTGTGGAGGTTTAATTTAGGAGTGGGGGGAAGAGCAGCACTTTTGGTCTCTTGAAAGGCAGGCACCCAAGCTCCAAGCACTTCTGGCTTTCCCTAGCAGTAGCAATTACAACCACATTCTCTTAGCCCTGAATTATACATGGGACCCCAAGCACTACTGGGGCTTTTCCTTAGGGAAAACAAACTGTCGTGAATATCGGCGTGTTGGTGAGGGCGTGTGTGTACCTCTCTGTGTGTGGTCTACACCCGTGGCTACACAAGCCTCACCAGTCAGTGAGAAATAAGTTGAACGTGGCAGCCCCTGGCCACTTCGTTTCAGTCTTATCTTAAACCCCGCCGCGCTTTCCAGCTTTTGCTTCTACCCAGCCTCTCGAAAAATAAGGTACCAACTTGCTGGCGGCAGCGGCCCTGAGTGCAAACGGAACCCGCGCAGCCCCTACCTCGAGAGCTTTGCAATCTTCACAAAGCTGAAGACATCCATGCAGACAGCCGGGGACCCCCGAGCGCGACAACTCCGTTGCCCCTTCTCACGCCAGCAACAGCAGCCTCGGCAGCCCCATGGCCAGGACCTCAGTGCGCCTGGGGCTCGAGTCGCGGCGACAGCGGGTGGCGGCGGCGGCCCGGGAGAGCCTGCACCTGGAGGCGGCGGCTACTACCCCCCTCCGGCCGCGAGCTGCGTGTGCATCCCCGAGCAGGACCATTGATGGGCACCCGCAGCAGGAAAACTCAACGGAGAGGGAGCCAGGCAGGGCGCGAGAGGCGGGGGGCGGGGAGCGCGGCCCGGGTCTCGCGCCCCGCCCCGTGCGCTCTGGCCCCGGGAACGGCTGGGCGTCCAGGGAAGCGAGGCCTGGGCGAGAGGCGCTGCTCTGGCTTCCCGGCCCTCGGAACCCCGTGCCCCGCGCACGGAGGAGCGCAGACGGAGCCAGGAGGCGGCAGGCGAGCTGGGCACACGCGCACGCACCCCTCGCAGTACTGCAGCTGCCTCCCTGCCTCCTTCCCCAAGCCAAGTCCCGACTCCTCTCCCCACCCCCACCCGCCCGGGGGGAGGGGGCACTCTCCTGTCACCCGCTGCGCGTGCCTCCAGATCTGAAGGATCTGGTCTAACAGTCTATGGCACACTGGAGAACTGAGAACGCTACCCCTCCCTCTCCAAGCCGAAAGAGAGCCGTGCAACCGCAGGTTGCCTAAAGCCTCGGTTTGCTCCGTAAACAAAACTAGCAATCGGAAGGAGCAGGGATGATTGAGGCTGGGTCGTTTGTCAAGGGAAAGGGAAGGGAGATGCCCAGCGCAGCGGGTTAGATTTGGGGAGCGCAGAGTTCCCACTGCTTCTCCCGAACCGCGTTGGCGAGACGTGACCACTGGGCTGGCTAGGAAGGTGTGTCTTTGGACAGCAGCACCGCGGGAGTGTCGGCCGAATAAGAACCCGAGGCATTTGCGGGTAGGGGGATGAACACAGCTGCTCCCTCCTTGAGGGGCATAGAGCGGAGGGTCCCAGAAGCCCGTGATGCGGAGGCTAATTCTAAGCCGGCTCGTTATCTAAGGGAAGAGGAGGATGAGAATGGGGTCTGGCATGCAGAGCGAGCTGCTTTTGCAAACTGAGCCGTAGGTGAAGGGAACAAGGAAGAAAAAAACAAAACAAAACAAAACCTTGCCGGAGAAGCAAAAACACAGAAACATAAACACTCACCTTAGGCAGAGTAAACTCCAAGTTGCAGCCATCTAGAACTCCTCCTAGCCTTCTCTTTTACATAATTACCTTGGATAATCAGCCCTATTAAATTAACTCAGTTCTACCTCCTGGGTGGCTCAGGCTTCATTGGGCCCCCTTTTCCTCTTCCTCTTGGAGTCTCAAGGCCTCTTCTCCACAATCCTTTAAAATTTCCCCCCAGACTGTGAAGGTCAGCTGGCCGCACTAAGTGTGTGCTCTCCCACCGGCAGCGTTCACCTGGCGGCAGGGCCACCGCAAAGAACAGAGAGCACCCCCAGAAACGTTGGAAGATCCAGCCACTGCTCCAGTCTAGCTCTCTGAAGGGATTAAGAAGGAAATAGGTTTAAAGTTCCCACACTTCTGCTCCTCTCCTGGTGTGTTGTTAAATTTAAAGTCTTCAGTATTCAAGCCTAGTACTAACGCATTGTAACGTTGTTGTTGTTTTTTTTAAGCATTTCTTTCAAAAACAACATAAAATAAATAGCAATCTGCAAAATCTAAATGACTTAAAACTCAGGCATAAAATTACATTTTTTTGAATACACAGTTATCAATTTTCCTGCAGCTTCTTTTACACAGGCTAGTTTAATTGCATGAATACAGTTACTAGTCAAGGATCAGAAGAGGCGAGAGAGACCTTGGCTTTTGAACTCTATTGTTTGTAAAATAATTATAGTTTGGGTCTGCACTGTGCTTTGTAATTTTTAAAATAATTTTTTTTTTGCATTGGAGTCTCATAGCAACCCTGTCATATAAGTAAGGCAGTATGTTTAGAAAAGAGAAATCTTTTATTTTTATGCCTTAATCTATTCTCAACATATGAGACAAAGAGACGGTTGTGTGTGTGTGTGTGTGTGTGTGTGTGTGTGTGTGTGTGTGTGTGTTTAATATGGATCACATAAGGTTACTTGTCTGATCTAAACTATGCAGGAGCTCTCCATTCTCTGTCAAGCTAAAGTTGCACTCCTGCAAGGACCAGCAAGACCCTAGGTCCCTCATTCTTTGATCTCTCTTACCTCAACTATTACTGCCCACCTCCCTCTCCCCTTTTTCTCTGTTGCTCCTCATCCCCCATCCCGAGGCCTGCCTCCCACACACACATACATTCACTGGGCTCCAGCAATTCTGGCCTCCTTGCTGTTCTTCAAACTCCACAGGTATCTTCCCACCTTAGGCTCTTTGCAATGGTTGATCCCTCAGCTTGGAATGCTCTTCCCTGGGATATCTGCATGGCTGGCTTCTCCACCCTGTCAAATCTATGCACCAATACCATTTCCAAAAAGCCCCCTCTAAAAAACCTGTTTAAAATTGCAAAAGGCTCTCACACCCTGGACTCCAAGTCCCTATTAACTGTTTTATTCTTTTTTCTTGTTTCCATAGCACTTATCACCCACTAGCACATTATATAATTTATTTTTATCTTTAGGATTTTTTTTTGTCTGAATCTCCCTCTGGAGCTCCACAAGGGCAGAGATTTTTGTTTTGTTTTGTTTTTGTTTTTCACTGATGGATCCCCAATGCCTAGACCACTTTCCCAGATGTAGAAGTAACTTAAGAAATATTTGTTAATGAACAAATCATATGCCCATTGGAGTCACAGCCAAATCAAAGCTGGCCAAGTATCCCCAGTGAGTACTGATCTCCGTATGACTTCATGGCTTATGTCTGTCCCTCTCCCTACCCATCCATGTACCCAGAATCCTTCAACCTACTTTGGACTGAGTGTTAATGATGGCAACAAAGGCCTTCTTAGATTCTCTAGTTATTTTTTCCCTTCACCTTTTCTATCTTTCCCCAAAGAGATTTGCCACCAACAGGTTCCCATTCCCTCATCTCTGAGTCAACATCTGGCAGCACAATACCACCTCATGACTGGGAAAACGGGATAAAATACTGCCTTTGGAGAATGTATTTTGAAAAAGTGCTTCCTTCTGAGAACAGAACAGTTGGGATGCTCTTTTTAAAAGCATAACTCTATTTATCAAGAATTATTCCAGATATTAAATAGCTAATTATTCAACAGTGAAAGTGACAGGAAATAGACATTGTGTTTACTGAGAGAGAGAGAGAGAGAGAGAGAGGGAGAGAGAGAGAGAGAGAGCGCCTCCCTTCAAGACATCTGGTCTACCTGGAACAGCTTGCTGTTGGCCTTCTCCCTGTGCCAATTTGTGCGCTACTGTTATAAATGGTGCAGATGCCATCTCTCCACAGCATAATAGCTATTAAGGGAAATGACTGACTTCTACAGGTCTTTACACACCTCTCATATAGTAATTATTTAGTATGTTTTCTAATGGATTGATATTGTTTTCTAAAGCAAAGAGATTCCACCCGTCCTCCTTTGTTTCTCATTAATATAACAATGGAAGAACAAAAGAGCCCTTGAAACATGCTAACACAGTGAGATTTTATCTTTAAGCCATCTTGGCAGAGGGGCAGAGATTGAAGTAGTCGGTCTCTCAGCCCTGTCCCCTGTCCGTGACAGGCATATGCTGCAAAGGTTAGGATAGATTTATTTAGCATGAAATAGATCTGCCTAAAACAAAAGCCAAAAAGTGGAATCCTGAGTACATATGTGGTTGTCTGAACTTTTCTTATCAACCTGGATAATCTTTAAGTCTCCTTCTAGAGCTTGTAGGGATTTACTAATCAGAAACTTAATTATCCAACCTTGAGAATCTACTTAATTTGCTTTACTTCGGCTCAAGTGACATTTGGTCATTTCTGAAAACCAGACACACTTTCAAACACTGTTGAAAGTATTCATGAATAAAACATTCAGGGTCACGAGATGCAGAGAAAGTCCTATAACTTCTCTGAGACTCAGTTTCCTCAGCTGTAAAATGGAAATGATAATACATCTCTACCTTATACAAAATGAGCACTTAAAGTTGGGCACCAGTTTATAGTTGGCTACATATGAGTTGAGGTACATGAATGTTAGCTCTAGAAGGATTTCCACAACTGTCTACAGACCTGGCAGTACTGGTAGGAAAAGTTTCAGCCTCTAAAATGACTACTTTGGAGGCCCAACATTTGCTTTGATTAATCAGAGGTGGGCACTTTTGCCTCAAAATCAAACGCTTTCTTGCCTGGGCTGTTACTAAAGCCCTAAGCTGTGGTATCTTTTATGCCCTGGAGGATTCTCAGGAGGAAGCATGAGGAATTTCTTCATCATTGTTAAGGCCTTATCTAAAGCTGGTGTTAGCAATCTGCTATTGGGCCAGATGTTCCATGTAGGATGGCAGCTGAGGGTTCTTTTGCTGCAAATCACAGTAGAGAGAGCCCCAAGCATTTCTCAGCTGGACTATAGTATCTCGACCATCTGGTCTCAGTCCTGAAAACAGAAGTAAATTAATAACATCAAGGTATCCGTTCAATCAACAAATATTTATGGACTGTCTCCTATGTACCAGGCACCATTCTAGGCACTGGGAAATAGACTCAGCAACAAGGCAAGTCTCTGCTCTCATAGAATTTATATTTCAAAGAGGAGATAGATGATAAACAACAAAATCAGAAATTGTCATGAACAAGAAAATAGCAGATAGCAATGTGCAGAGAATTAAAATTCTTCTGATGGAAAGGGAGTGGCTAGGAGGCTATTTGCTATTCAGTGGTTCAGGAAGACTTCTATAAGTAGGCGACATTTAAACTGAAATACGAAGAACAGGAAGGAGGCTGCCACACAAAATTCCTATGGAACAGCATTCCATGCAGAAGGAACAACAAGGATAAAACAAGGATGAAGCCCTTGAGGCGGGAACAATGATTGTATGTTTGAAGAATCAGAAGGCAACCAGTGTGACTGAAGAGTAATGTATTAAATGAAGTGAGAGTGAGTGAATTTGCAGGGCAAGAAGGGTGAGATCACATGGGGCATAATACGCCAGTATCAGCTGTCTGACTGATAAAGTAAGATGGGAAGGCATATGAGGATTTTTAGCATGGAAGTGGCCAAATCTGACTTATGTTTTGAATGACCGCTCTTGAGGGAAATGAGTGTGAGGGCAGGGAAATTACTGATTTAGGAGCCTGCTGCAAGAATCCAGGCAAGAGCTGGCAGCAGCTCAGAGAGGACATGACAAGGAAGTGGTGAAAAGTAGCCAGGCTCAGGATATGTTTTGAACAGGAAATGGTGATGGGTTAGATGTGCGTGGTAGGGAAAGAGAGGAATAAGAGAAAACTAATTTATTTGTATTATTTATGAAATACACTGGTTCGATCACATGTGGTGACTCATGCCTATAATCCCAGCAGTTTTTGAGGCTGAG